TATTTTTTTTTTTTTTTTTTTTTTTTTTTTAAGCCAGTGTCTCTTGGAATCAGGAGTGTGGTGCTAGGAAAAAGAGTCACAGGGAATAGAAAAAACTGTCCAAGATGATGCAGGTGTGCTAGAGGGAGACTGAAATTATATATGAGTAATGGAAGAAAAAAACCTAGGGGAATATTCTGCATGTAATCCTGCAGGATGAGCTTTCTATTATATGCATACAAAAGATTCCTTTTTAATTTAAAAAATTTCACAGCTGAAATGACAACCTTTAAAAACACTGATTTGAAATCATTTCAAAAGCAATGTTTTAAAATCTTACGTTCTGAAATACTGAACCCTCTGTTCTCCAACGGCAAATATGCTGTATTTGGCAAATCTGCCGAATATTTTCTAGGCCTTGAAAAAAGGGAAGAGCTATTCAGAGGCATACCTATGGTAATTCTAACATTTCTCCTGAAGGAACATCACTTGCCATTTCAGCCACTGCCCTAACCTCTCCTGCCTTGGTTTTAATTTCTTCTGTTGTTACAACGGCTATGGGTGATGCCAAGGGCTAATGCCAAAAACAGTGATGACATGAAAACTACCACCACATACCTTTGAATTACACCATCACTCACTAAATACTTGATGTACTTTCCAGTCTTGAGGTTAGCAAAATGATTTGCCATTTGGTACAACTTTCTGATTTGTGGGTTATACAAATGGATAGAGGAAGACGTCCCTAGAATAGAAACATTTCTCTCCTATTAGGTAAGAAGGAGGAATATTTCCTCACCTCTACAATCCAGAAAACATTGTACTCTTCAGGAGTTCTGAGGTGATAAAAATTAAATGTCAACAACAGGCTGCTCCATGGACATATCTGAAAACTGCTACATAATTCTACTCATTTTTCTACATGTAAGAAAATGATGCACATATTCATCAATTTAAACAAAACCTTATTTTTTACATTGTCATTTTGGTACAGAGTCAAAACTAAAAGATTCCATGTCTTTGGATAAATAATGATGAAGATGATGATTAGGTAGTTAGCCAGCCAGTATTATTACATCATTTGGAAGATTTACAATGTTTTTACATTAGAATTTTCTAAAATTTGAACCCTATTGATGCTATATCCTCCTAAATGTATTATGGTTGATGGATGTATATTTCTTTAATTAATGAATGGTTTCTGAGGTCAGGTGTTTTGAGAGCTGCCAATATATATTTTTGCACTAAAGCTTTCCTCTCTTATAACATCCTTTCTTCACTGAGTAGGACTCTCAGGGTAGATGTTTGCTGACTGTGAATGTACTCTTTTTCTTTTTTAAGATCTATACAAAGTATAACCATTGCTCAGGAACAGGTGCATAGCAACCATCAACAACCAGCCTGGGATACAGATATCTCCACTACTGATGTGAAATTCTTCTTAGAAAACGTCTGCATTGATCAACCCCCTGGCAGTGAGTAGTTCTGCGTTTGGGTTGGTCCCAAATATCTTACCAGGACTTTTTGGTTGAAGATGTTGCTGTTTCTAGTCTTTGAGCCAAATGGGTTGCTAGAGGAGATTGCTGTCAGAGTTGTAAGGTTTCCTCCATCTAAGGTCTATCATCACCACCATCACTCTATCTTAGTCTCTCTTTCCC